ACTAATGATAAAGGTTAATGAACTGATAAATGTTTTGAACTTTCATTATAATTTTAGGAGAATGGGGAACATATTAGGAACATAATATAATGCAAATTAATTTGAAACAAAATTGGTAAAATGCTATAGAAACATGTTTTCACAGTAATATTTTATCAGTACTAGAAAAGTTGTACAGGGTGTAAAGTTCAGTACATGATTGTACCAATGTACATCTACAGGTTAGTGATGTACAAAATGTTTCTCGTAGGTTGTTTTCTGATGATTGTAAGGGATTATTTCATATTAATGGCTGTGTATACAGTAAATACTGTAAAAGATAGCACTTACTAGGCATAATGTTCAGCTTGTAAACAAGTTTTACATTATTTAAGATTGATAATCAGTAGAAATTATACAGTGGTACCAATTCAGACTGAATGCAAATGGCTAATGACTGTTGTTCGTATGTAGGAAAAGTCCATGCTTATGTTGGACACTTGCAGGAGAATGAATAGACATAAAATAAAATCAAGTGTGAGTATTTTATACCATCTACTTTCAAATAAACCTCTGCATAATGCACTTAGTTTGTGTAAAATAGTGGGAACATTTGTTTCCTCTTTGCTTGTTTTTTATCAATTCACCTTTCAGTCAGGTTTTTAATAATTAAGTGATGACTAGTGGTTTAAATTAGAAAATTAAAATTTTTTTAGGAGCCAAAAACATTTACACTAATGAATAAATTATGGGGATGAATAGTTCAATTCAACTTGTAGATGTCCTTTTAAACAGTTGTTTACAAACTGAACTGTACTATACATATGACAAAATGACAACTAAGTAAACACATCATGTACTATTACATGTAGTTAGTAGTTGTACATCTACATTATATATGTCCAAATTTCCTGCATTTTATGAAGTTTTATCTTTCTGACAGGATACATTTTTAAGTTTATAGTAAATTATACTACAAACAAAAAGCACCACCCCATTGGATGCAGTCTAGACATGATTACATTCAAATAGCGTTATATCTAGAATATTCTCTAAGCACTTCTGTTTTGTTAGTCATGAAAACATCTAAGTTTTACATCCAAGGATACGAGCTCCTTACTGCATTCCCTGACCAAATGTAACTGTCAGTGTGGATTATCTATTGAATATGGCACAAAAATGTGATTTTAAAAAATTAATAAAGCTAATTAATAGAGAAATAAATATTCCCTTCATTAGAAACCACACAGGATTGGTTGTGTATTGCTTGTAATTGTTCTTGTTATTGATACACTAACAATAGAAGAAACTTGGTACATAATAAAATATGCTTGTTTTGGTAACATAGAGATTTCTTTAAAAATACAAGTAATGTATAATATAAAATATAAGTGCATACAACTACATATATTTATCATACTTCAAGGGAGTTAATTCAATGTCACATATTCAGGGGTAAGTATAATCTTCTGAATAAGTGCCCTAAAGGTGCAAAATAATTTTGAAGTTTCAGAAATCTGAAAAGACTTTTGGGTTGTGGAAAAAGGAAAAGGGAAAAACTTTGGATAGAAAAAGAGAAGTTAAAAGAAGAAAAAAAGCAAAGAAAGGGAAAAGAAAAAGTGGAAATAAAAGAGTAGAGAAACTTTTGTTGCTGAAGCTGTATCACTGTCACTTGTCAACTAGTCAGACACTAAAAAATTAGGGAATTTAAGGAGTCTTGATTGAGAGTTTATTGAGTTTGAACAAACCAGTATGAGAGAAAATTGGTGGATGGAGTAGCAAGTTTTTTTCAAGATATGATTTGAGAGATGTGACAGATTTTATCGTATGTATTTACATTTATGGTATAGTTGAACAGTTTTCAGTACATATAATGGTAGCCTGAAAAACAAGCTAAAATTTCTATTATACCAATAGCTTTTCATTTGTCACATTGTAATTTACAATGCATGTCAAAGTTGGTTTAGTCCACCCACTGTCTCTGTAATAGCAGTACTGTATGTAGAACTTTAAGGATCTGCTGTTTCTACTTAGTGATGGATTTTAGAAATATTTCACATTATGGAAATGAAGTGTGCATTAAGGATGATACTTCTATTTCTTACACAAGTTTTTTCCCTGGTATTATTACTACTGGCTATTGTTTCTACTCTTACATCATGATGTCACAACATGTGATCTGAACAACTCCCAATGCATTTCAGCTTTGAAAATAGCTACAAGCCGTGTAGAGTGAATAAAGTGGTGGGAGAAGTTATTTATGATTTTGTGTGAAAGTTACTATATTGAGCTCCTGCAGACTGGAACAATGGAATATAGAGCTTGGAATTTTTTGTAGGCTCTTGAACTGTTATGTTAGTTAATGAAAGGAAGTACAATAAGAGACAACAGAATATTCTGATGATTCAGATTCTTACTTATTGAATATTATTGTTAAGCTTATTGTATTCAAACATTATACACAATTTATTTCCTAGGTTAAGCTATATATATATATATATATATATATATATATATTAGATATAAATTTATCTCTACCAAAAATATTGGTATTTCATGCAGGAAAAATGTTAACTTTCAAAAGAAATGTTAATGAATATCAGTCAAGTTGAAATTTATAAGATACATAGAAGGAAATTTCTGATCAACAATAAAAAAACAATTCAAATTTCAAGTTAATGCTTTTTTTCAAAACAATGTCTCACAACAACATTTTGGAAGTTTAACAATGTCAAGAATGGTAGAAAACTAAATCAAGTTATATGAATTCTTTTTAAAATTCAAAACTAGACACCATTTCGTACAGTGGTTCTATATGTTCCATGCCTTTTGTTTAAATATTTTCATTGCAACCTTTGCTTTGCTGCAGTTTCTCTACTTCTTTGGCTTCATTCTCAATATGTTCATCTTTGATCCTCTCTGTTTACTGATGAAGATAGCCTAGCTGCTTTATGCCATAAAGTCCTGACCAACCAACCACTTTACTGGTGGGATGAACATTTTGGCATACACTCTTTCTGGGGGTCATTGAAGTGGACTTTCTACTCTGTTTGTTCAATGACTGTGCAAATATCTTGGATGCCACATCAGACAACTGTTTTCTTCCACTATGTTGATCTTAAATTTCAGATTCAAATTCTCTGGCAGTGGATGCCCTGAATCAATCTTCAGAGAGCCTATCCATTTATGCCTACCATGTTTGTTGTTTTCGTCCTCAGGTACTTGCCAAGATCAGTTACTCAAAGTGCCAGGTTCTCCCTTTCTCTCTACTTTTTTCCAGATCAACCATAGTTTACTCATGTTGAAACATCCATTTTTCACAATGACATTCTACATTTATGGTTTCATAGCTGGATGTTGTTCAATCCTTTGTCAGAGAAGTTGGATTTTCTTCCTGGGTGGCTTGGATGTTAGCCCATTTTTACTTTTCTTTGGCTGTCTATCAATCTCATTGATCTATTTTGCTTTAGACATATTTTGTTTATCTCCAACTCCACAACAGATTACTTCTTTTGTTGTGTTTTTTTTTTCATAATCATAGCTTATCAGATTCTTCCATCGCTGGTAACAGAGTTACCTCATTTGCCATCTTTAGATGCCATGAATGTTACCTCTTATCTTTTTTCCCATTGTTCAAAGATTTTTTCTAAGCTTTTTGTCTTCAGTGATCCCAAGTTTGTAGACATTGTGGCTTGAGTTTAATCTTGTTTCTTGGCTTCTTCCCCTTTTGAAATCTTAGTGATTTGAATGCTTTATCATCTTTTTCTCAACTCATATTGTCTTTTATTACTTGCATCAAACAGATGACATTCTGATATTTATGCCCTTGATGCTTCACATTTTATTTTCTCAGAAGTTTTCATAAACCAGATCAAGCCTTCCTACCTAAAATTTGAGCTGCAAGAGTAGGTAATTATTTTTTCTCACCTATTGTGAGACTACATGTGAATTACTTGGTCATGGACAATAAGCATTTGGTTTTAGGATAATGACCAACCATTATTTTGTGCCCTACATTTAATTCTCAATACATAGTTAATATAAAATGATAGATAAACAAATTCTGACATTTCATATGAATAAGTAAACATGAGCCTTGAATGGAACTGTTCCATTGATTTAGTAGGATCACAACTGTTCATACAGGTGAGGCTGGAACACTATTGATAGAGGAGAAAGGGAAGGGAAAAAATACATGTTATATCTGTTTTATAAGTATACCTAAGGATATTACTTCAATGAATCTCCTGAATTAATTTACTTACAGAAAGCATACAACATATATCACTGTGTGTATGAACAAAGAACATCTTGGATATTAATTTTTCATATTTCCAACTGCATATTTTATTTTTTTTCTGTTTAGACCTTTAAGTATATTACTTCATCAAACCTTGGAAATAAATTTATTTTGTTTTGAGTGCCGATGAAAGGAAATTGCTCAATTTTTATTACTCACTCATATTGTGCTCCTTATGGTGCTGACACATATTTTAGCATCAGACATTTTGATGTTGTGACACGTCTGTGTTTAAATATGAAATATTATAACACAAATCGGGATACCCTGACTAAGTTGAGATGGGTGTAACCTGCAAAATAACATCCTTTTTTGTTTTAATCTGAGGACATGGACTGTTTATTTGGATCATATATATATATGTAAAAGTCAAATACATGTAAAAGTCTTCAGCATAAGTGTAGAAGAACATAGGTACATTGATAAATCAAGCAAATTGTAGATCTTTCATAAGACGTGACTCTTTAAATTCAGTATTTTTTTTTTAGTCCTTAAGTATACATGCATTATTATTTCCTATTAAATCAAACTTGCTGATGCCCTAAAACATTTAGTCCAATTGCTAAAACTTTGTTATCAGTAATTTCTTGTGTGTGTGTACATTTGTACATATATTGTTTAGTTACTAGTACACCTAGTGTGTTAATTGGCACATATTCAATGTACATGTTTGTGCATATTGTAAGTCTGTTTTATAACTAAAAATTCTTTCTACTTTCAGACAATATCAGTATTTGAATATGGTTTTGTACTCCAGTGAGAAGTTTGAAGTTACTCACATAGCCAGGTGGTTTCATGTTTTACCCCATGTTGATATAACATTTAAACCAGTGAATGCTACATTTGATGTCACAAACAATTCTTATTTAGAGGTAAGGATGTGTCTTTCTTGGCATTCATTTTAAAGTGCTTCTGGTGATTTTGTTTTGTTATTCAAGTGTGACAATATATATAGTATGAAATAAAGAAAAAAGTAAGGAAAAGTAATAGAACTCTTATTATTTTCTTGAGCCATTTCCAATTTTGCTGGGAATTAATGAAACTTTGGAATTGTGAAGATACAACTAATGTGAATTTTCACAAAGGTTAAAAGCAATTTTTTGTAATGGTAAGTTAACCAAAATTAGGCCTACATGTAATAAAGCATGGTGTAAAATTTAATAACCAAAACAATATGTTTTTTTTTTTCATTTTACATTTAAACAAATTTAAAGCAACTTTAAAATCTATGTTATTGTTTTTCTCTTGGGTAAAATGCCCATGCATTTTCTTTTACTAGTTCGTGCTTAACCAACATATGAAATATTACTTTTCATGAATAGTGTTTCTTCTTCTGAATTATATCCTCATTTGTAAAGTGTAAAACAACATTTAACTTACTTCTTCTGAATTATATCCTCATTTGTAAAGTGTAAAACAACATTTAACTTTCATTCTGATGGATTTGTTACATAAACTATTGATAATTCAGTGATAGTGAAGACTACAAGTTGGAAATACACAACCATGATAAATTACAAGTGAATAATAGTATGACAGCAACAAAAACAAACATTTGATACTTGTGTGATGGTAACAAACATTTAAATCTTAAAGATTATGGAATGTACAAGCTATAATAAACAAGGTAAAACATTAGGTACAAAACTTTTCTAAATTTCTAAAGATCGAACATTTTCTAAAGAGGAATTAAAATACAAAATAAAAGGATGAAATCAGTTAAAAAAAATGTCTTTAAAAATTCGATGGAGCCTATCAGCATTTCTAGCATTCATTTCTAGACTAACAAATAACATATCAGGTATATAAATAAAAGCCATTTCATAGGGTTGACCAACAAAACCTGCTAGAAAAATTGTACTGAGAAAAGCTAACCAAGCCTAAAGGTCGAAATGAGCATGGGACCACAAACAGAAAAATAAGCAAACAAAGCTAGAGACATGTTTTCTTTACAGACGAATCCACATTAGAACTGTTCAGCAGCAATCAACGACTGTTTATTCAAATCTGGATGTTGTACCATAGTACCACATTTCCAGTGAAGCGTGGTGAAGAATAAGTACAAGTTTGGGGCTACATCTCAGTGTATTATTATACACTTTTGAGTTGGTTCTGTCTCACAAAGCCCATTATAGAAATTTCCTATCTATCATCAGGAGCTTACAATGCAAGAATAGTTTTTGAAGTGTCAAATGTACTGATGAAAAATTACATTGTCTGCATAATGTTTCCCATTAATGTAGAATCATATATAATATCAAAAATGTTGTATGGTATAAATATTTTCTGTAGTTTCTTGAATTATGCTTTTAGCTGGGAATTTTGTGTTTTAAATGTATTTGCATGTTATATTGTTCAGTATATTCCTCCCACCCAACCTAACTACCACCATGTGTGGTCTCATGATGTAGAAGCTAGTCATATATTGTTAGGCTGACTTGAGAGTAAACTGGGCGTGTTCCAGTAATCATTAGGTATATATGTATTGATCCAAGCACTGTATTAAAGATAAATAATGAGTACCCTGTTGTGCATTTTAATGGAATTTTTTCTTCATGAAGGTGTGTGTGAGTGGACAATGTATATAATTATTTTGATGTTCTGGATAAAAGTCAGTTAAAAGTTATGCTGCTTCATTATGTGTATATAACTACATGTATATAGTATACATTGTGTATGAAGACGTATGATTACGGTATGTACATTTATAAGTGTATGTTGTTGGTTTTTAATGTCAAAATGCTTTATATACATAGAATTAAAGTAGAGGTATGTAACTCTATATTTGGTTCAAGATTTGTGCATTTGATTTTATTATTTATAATAATGTTTTTTACTCTGTAAAAGTAAAGAAAAATCTCTGGACTTGTAAGCTGTCAAGGTGCTAAGACATTTTTATGATTGAGGGTGGTTGACCAAATAGTTATTAACAGTTAATGTAGCTTATTGTAATATTTTTTTCTCATATAAGTTGTTTTATTTTATCTTTTAAAATTGTCTTGTATATGTACATATGTAATATATGTACATGTGTTATATCCAATGAAAAAAATTGGGGTAACTTGTTAATAAAATGTTTTTGAATTTGTCAAAGTGTTTTTTATATTGCTAAAATTTGTCATGTACATTGAAAACCATAAACATCAATGTATCATATGTATAATGATCAGTTTTATTCTAAATTTCTAAGAGTTGAGCCAACTCGCATGTATTAAGAATGCTCTTAAAGCAGATATATTCTCAAATGATTTTAGCACACAGAAGCTAATGAAATATAATTTGAGAGAATTTTAAAAACTATTTACACATATAGTTATATCTTTAGAATGTAGATAGTAACAATGTAACTTGTAGGTAAGTATGTTTGATATTTCTGTTTGTAAGAACCATCTGTCTGTAAATGTCATTAACTTATTTTATTCAAACAATTTCGCTGTATCAGAAGATAATACAGTATCTGGTATCTACACTTATGAATAATACATTAAATCAAGTATATTTTGCCAATAGAATTTAGGGCTGTGGTAATCTATGTTGTTTTTTATGCTGACATTTTGTAAAAAGATGCTTGCATTTTTCTAGGGAAATTTTTTAAAATTATTTAAGGCAAAAAAGATTTGCTGTAAAGGTATTGATTTCAGGTTTGTGGCAATTTTGCTTTAATATGTGATCTTTTACATTTATTACAGTTGTTGAGTGGAAGATGGTTTTCAGATGCATGGATATTAAGTGTAATACTTGTGGGTGAAATATGATTATTAGTCTTCAACATTTCCACTTATTCTGATGATGTGAAAAGAAAAACATATATGACTCAATATCAGTTATATGCAGATTTGTAAATTTGCCTGTCTTCAGATCCTGAAATTTTTGTCTTTGAAATTTATATAAAAAATTTCTTGTTAAAGCTGTGGTGTCCAGTTCAAATATATATGGAACATGGATTATAACAACTCAAGGTCAATTAATATTTTGTTCTTATGCTTATAGCCATGACATTTCCTAGAAAATTAAGCAGTACAATGTGGCTTACTTATTATATATTCATTATGTGATACATATGTTGAAAGACATGATAAGCCCAAACAGTTTTTGAAATCAATACTGTCGTATAGTTATAGATTTTTCTATTTTGATTTTATTTTAAAACAGTGCTTGGTTGGTGGAAATATGCATTTGATCTAATGGTAATATATCATTTCAAAGTGTATCATAATATTAAATACATTTGTAATGTTTTTTGCATGTACGTACATGTAACACTGAGTGATAACACATTTCTAGTTTTACTGAAGTAAGTCTCTTTGAAACTTTTGTCTTGTATTTGATAAACTTTGTATTGTTCAATACAAACTTGATACAGAAATGAGTAGTAATAGAAACATGCTGTAAGTACTATATATTTTCATAATATATGCATATTGTGTAGATGAAGTAATGTATGCTTATTTCGAGATGAAAAACTTTTCCATAAGATTATACATGTGGCATATAGTCTCTATTTCAGTGTGTGTATTATTGTGTATGGAAATTAGCCATGCATGTACTTTTTTTTTAAGTTTATACTGCTTTTTCTTTATAAAGTACATATAAATCAGAAACATCTGCTGATTAAGCACTGCTAGTTAGCCCTAAACAAATTTTGAAACTAATACTTCCATTTAAGGAAAGTAAAGATGAGTCAATAGGATTGTTATACCAATAATAATATTTTTTACAGATTTAACTTTGTGGCTAGTTGCTTGAGGTTTTTTTTTCATCACCTTTTTTTTTGTTAATTTTTCTTTTGATTTATTGTGTTTATTCCAAAAGTTCTTTGTACCCAGTGTCCATTTTTTGATGCTAAAGTGTTTCATGCCTATCATTTTGCTTCATAAATGCATTGATTTATTGAAATTCCTAAGAATAAGATCTTTTTCATGTTTACACTCATTTCTAAGTTAGTAATGCATTTAAAACTGCAAAAGCATTAAACACATTTAATTGCAATACATATTAATTGCAAACCAAAATTTCTCTGAAATATAGATATGTATTTAATATTTTGAAACAATTTGATATGTGTGTGTGTGTGTGTCTTTATAATCTTCTACTGAATTAAAAGTACAGAATATTTTCAAAGTATCCAACTCCAGTATATCTTATGAAGTTTGAGGTAAATGTGTTGTACATGTTGACTTAAGTGAATGCACACTACAAGAAAATGAAAACTATATTTCCAAGTAAAAGTAGAAAAAATATTGTGTTGTATTTTAAAGTTTGTGACCCCTCTTTTATATATATATATATATAAGTTAGTTTT